CTTATTGAAAGAGAGAAATTGGTAAACTTTGCATATATGATGCTCGATTTATTGAGGATCGTAAAATAACTTTCATTAAAGGAATTGATATTTTGCGTGAAAAATTTGCATAGATATTTTGCACATGAGATACGACCATAAATAATATATTTCGATCATAAAGATTATTAAGTAACAATATGGAACTTCAACGTGTCCGTCGGTTCTCAAGTTGAAATGTTAAATCAGAGAATCTGCCTCGCCGCAGGACGCCATCTTGCATGAGACATTTATTACAATTTCCTGGAGCCATCATTCAAGAGCCATCACTCAGGAGCCATCGCCTAGCTTTTGCCAAACCGTACTGGGTCAATATGACCCACACACAATAGCTATAACTGCATCACTTTTGGACAAAGTATAACTCATTTCCATGACTGATCCAAACAACAATATATATTGTCTCGCTAGTATTGTTTTCTAATGAGAATGCATCGTCACTGCAACATTCGGTGCTCGTTCTCCTTGGAGTAAGAATTACACATGCCTATAATAGTTTTTCCACATAGTTTAGTGTATATTGCATTATAGTATTTTTCGTCATTCTCTACTCTAGGCCCGTGAGCTCATTCCAAAGTGCCTCCTAATCTTTATCCCGCCAATCTGCCTGTGGGCCTACGCTTGGGACTGGTATCACGACCAACATGGGGATGAGAATTGGGCAATCTGGTATTACCTATTCATTAGAATTACCTACGCAGACATAATTAAACCAATCGAATAGATTAATCTAATCATTAATTAACTATATAACATAAATCACAAATTATTAATGATTAGATAAATCAAACATATTTATTTTGCATGAATCAATTTAGATCGTGAAGATAGCAACATTAAACATAGAATAGAAATATTTTCAATTGATATAAATAATAGAACTGTTGAAGATATAGATAGAAAGTTATAGTTAATCTTGCTGTTTTTCAATCTAAGTGTGCCTCTTGGAATTGGATGCATCACTAAATTGTATGTATTGAAATTTGTAAAAAAAGCATCTTGAAAACGCGAATACAAAATGAATCAAATTAAAAATGAATTTTATGCCTTTAATGACAATGATGATTCTAGGATTCCTTATAATCGAAATATCGTTATTTTATTCAGGTGTAGAGTGATGAATGTCTAATAAGAAGACATCGAAAATGGCTACCGTTTTTAAATGATCGAGTGTCGCATGACACCAGTTTATATGAAGCCGATCGTCCGAAAAGCCGTCAATTACTGAAATAAACTTGAAAAAGACTACTCTGGTCTCCAGAGCAACTATTAATTCATTCATGAAATAAAATTACTATCTGAATTTGTTGTCAAATTAGTTACAAGCTATGATGTTAGCATGTGATTTCACACACACAGTCCTTTCAAATGTCATTATCTGAAGACTTCGAAGAAGTTTATCTCATTAAAAATGGCATGAATCCCTAACGTAATTAAGGGCGTTGATTGTTGATATAATAGTTGAAGTGAGTTGAAAGATATTGACGCCCAGTACAATTTAGCACAGCATAAATCTGACATTTACCAGAGCGTGGGCGATTTATAGCGTCCACCTTTTGACCCGGGGATTGTAAACTCGGGTAACGGTTTTTGCTGAACAATTTAATGAATAAATCAGTAATTGATAAAGTGAACAAAAAACAATGAACTTACTATTCGAGTTCAATATTTTTATGAAATAATTCATTATTCATTCCCAATTATTAGTATTTCAATGGGAATAATTACGGAAATTTCAGAAATATTCCAAATTTGGGAGATAATTATCAACAATACATAAATTTTACAAATAAAATATTCCATTTCGATTTTAATTTGAAATTTTTAATTTTTAAATTTCTCTAGTTTCATCATTGGAATCTTGTTAAGAATAAACACCCTTGTATAACCTTGTTAAGAAAACGCATACTAGTATATCCTTGTTATATACCCCAGTATTAACCTTTGGAGAATAACTTTGTTAATCCTTCGTTTCCTATCTTCAAGAATTCGATCATGTGGCGAGATCACTTCTCAAAAAATGCTTCTGAAGCTTTACGTGATCATATTGCAGCTCAGTACTTTAAATAAGATGTTTAGCTTATCATTTGGGATTTAATGTTTAGTAATGTATTATTTTACATTGAATTGTAATTCATAAAATATTGTTTAAATAGACCTAATTTGTTTGTATTATTCATGCAACTAACCTTGTTAAGAATACGCACCCCAGTAACGTCTGGGATGCTTATTCTTAACAAGAACCCATCATTGTCATTAAAGGCATAAAATTCATTTTTAATTATATTTTTGTATTCACGTTTTAAAGATTATTATTAAAATTTTCAATAAAAACAATTTAGTGATGCCTTCAATATCAAGAGGCACCCATCGGTTGAAAATTAAATCAGCAAGATTAACTTAAAATTTCTACCTATATCTTCATCATTTCTATTATTTATATCAATCGAAAATATTTCAATTCTATATTTCATGTTGCCGGTTAATGCTAAGCTATCTTCACGATCTAAATTGATTCATGCAAGATAAATACGTTTGATGTATCTAATCATTAATAATTTGCCATTTGTGCTATATAGCTAATTAATGATTAGATTAATCTATTAGAGTGGTTTAATTATAGCTGCGTAGGTAATACTAATGCATAGGTAATACCATGTACAATAAAATGGTCCTAGTCTAATTTAAACACAGAATTTCAGTTTCATATAATTGAGTGAACATTCAAATTGCCCCCAACATCTTTAAATAAAACTCAAACTGACGGTTCCACATATTCCATAATTGTATTTACTCGTATTACTGAGGAAATCATTCATTACTAACATTCATTAATAAAAAAATCTTTTTTACTCTCTAGAAGTAATTCATTACGAAATCTATCCATCAAAAACCTTTATTGACTAACCATGTGAAATGGTGGTCCATTTAGATGGAGCCCGACTTGGTTTTCATCGTTTGGCGATGGTGAGTTGGATTGAACAATCAAATTCACCATCAAATTAGACAATTGCTATTTAGGATCAGCGCAAGCTTAGACCCACAGGAATGTACTCGCTGGCCTGGAGTAGAGAACGACGGAAATTACTAATGCAACATACACTAAACTATGCAAAAAACTATTATAGGCATGTGTAATTCTTACTCCATGAAGAACGAGCAATGAATGTCGCAGTTGTCAGAATTCATTTATTAAGCTCTATCTGAGGATCGAGTTACGTGACTAAGGTTGTGCAGGATAAGTGAGACACAGTTGTCTAGATAACATAACTTGGTATAAGGGGTGGTAATACAAGAGTTATTACAGAAGTACATGTATAAGCTACGGCGTCGACCGTAAGGTCGGAGAACTCAACCGACGCGTTACATCGCGGAGCGCTGTTCTATTGCGGAGGGCTCTTACTACGGTTACCAGCCCTTATATAGCCTTCGGCTTCCGCCCGTAACTAAGGTCTTGATCGCGTGATCTATCACGTGATGTCTTCCAGAGGCTGACTCATATCTAGTACTTTTCCATTAATCTCTATCAGGTCAAGTGAATATTACGTCCCAATTACATATGATCTAATCATATAATACAATTATAATGAGACGCCAGATTGACACCGGACACGGCGACGACGCATTCTCCATAGAAAACAATACAAGCGAGACAATTTTGCTGTTTGGTTCCGTCATAGAAATGAGTGATACTTAGTCCAAAAAGTGATGCAGTTATTGCTCTTCTGTGTGGGTCATCTTGACCCAGTTAACCTTGGCAAAATGGCCTATCAGAGTTACATCCGCTCTCTTCTCGTGCTGTGAGTGAGAAAGTCTGTCATGATATGGACAACACTGAGGGATGTCTCCAGAGTGATAGCTCCTGAGTGATGGCTCCTGAGTTATGTGGCTCCTGAGTGATGACTCCTGAGTGATGGCTCCTGAGTGATGGCTACTGAGTGATGGCTCCTGAGTGATGGCTCCTGAGTGATGGCTCCTGCGTGATGGCTCCTGAGTGATGGCTTCAGAGTGATGGCTCCTGAGTGAGGGCTCCTGGGTGATGGCTCCAGAGTGATGGCTCCAGGAAATTGTAATAAATGTCTCATGCAAGATGGTGTACTACGTCAAGTCAGATTCTCCGATTCAACATTACAACTTGAGCGCCATCGGACACGTTGAAGTTCCAAATTGTTACTTTATGATCAGAATATATTATTTGTGGTCGTTTTTCATGTGCAAAATATTTGAAAATAAGAATTTTCACACCAAATACCAATTGCTTCATGATAATTATTTGACGAGCTTCAATAAAACGCGCATCATAAATTATAAGTTCACTAATTTCTCTCTTTCAATAAGCATAATAAGAACGCAATAAAATTTCTGAAACAAGTAACTTATATTGAAATTTGAACTGAAAATCTAAACTCAAGCATGAAATTTTTTAATCAGCATCGCCTACGAGTGATTCATGACCTAAAGCCAAATGAACTCATAAATCGCGCTACATCGTTCATTATTTCCTTATTAATATAATTGCAAAAATATCTTCACAATATCGAAGTTCCCGTTTCTCCTCGCGTATTCCGCCGTAATTAAGCTGCTCGACTTTTGCAATGACCCTAACAAAATTCGGGGTATTCTTCAGCCTCTGCCCCAGAGCTGCTATGTTCCCATTAGAGTTATTCTGGGTCTGCTTGGCCACATGATCGTAATCAGCGACTAGTCAGAACCTCCTTGCCGACTTTATAGTCTCCTGAGAGTAGGGCAAGAGTTGGCAGAATAAGGACCAGGCGCTTGTAGCTGACTGATTCGGGGACTGGAATGTAGACCAAAAAGCGGACATAGAGAAACTGATTTACGTTCAGTCCGAGCCCTAGGCGGTTCCAAATTTAGGCTCGCCACCAACTCGAAATTTTAATATATGGAATAATCACAATAATATAGTAATAATTACATAGAAACCCTCGTACACGCCAAAATTATTTCTCTTTCTCCATCTCCTTCGCTTTTAGTCGCAGCAGTTTGCGGTCGACCTTCTCGTTGTCGTTCCGAGGCAAAGCGTCCATGAAAACCACTTTTCTAGGCCGCTTTAGTTCATTGAGGTAACGTAATTGAGGCACGACGTAATTTACAACGTCTTCTTCGTTAATGGGGGGAGAAACGTCCGTTTTATTTACTATGAAAACGTAAATGGAGTCAATTCCTGTGCTGGCATCGAGCGTCCCAATGACGCTCACCTCCTTCACCCCCTCAATCTCCAGGATCGTGTTCTCCAACTCCGCTGGGGCAGCCTGGAGAGGAAAAAAACATGTAAATTCGAGTTTTTAGTCTTGGTTTTGTGTAAAGGGAGAATTTTATATCTATAAAAAATTAATTTTTGCAATTCCAAAATGCAGATTCACTCGAACTCTGTTTTCTCTAAAATAAAAGTTGTACGTTTGAGAATTAATTCTTCACCTAATTCCATACACTTCACAGTCGTAATGAGTTATAATAACTCGAGGTATTGAGATTACATTTGCAGAACGGAAACCACAACCACAACGGCAACTACATAATGAAGTAGAATTAATTATGCAATTACTTAAAAAAACTATTCGCACTGGCTCTTGATGATCATTGACATTTGCAACAATAGGAACAACAAATGCGTAGGTATCGGTACGTTTGACAAACGTTTTAATCTACTCTGGTAACGGAAATGAAAACAACTCTTATAGTTCCCATAAAATACATTTTATTAACCGTGCATCAAACTTTATTAACAAGCTTTTTATTTTTTTTTATTAAATGTGCATCAACCACTCACACTGCCATATTCAAGGCGGATGATCTCCTTGACGCGGTCGACGATCTGGACGTAGCCGTCCTCGTCCACGAGGGCCACGTCGCCTGAGTTGTACCAGCCTTCCTCGTCGATAACGTTATTAGTCTCCGCCAGGTTATTGCGGTAACCCTGCATTTTCTGTGACGAATAATCAGTCTTATTAGTAATACATTGCTATACGCTTTAATTATTTATTCCAATGTTTACAGTTGATAGTTTAAGGATTGGAGCAGCGAGTTGTACGTTTGATCCCAGTTTTCTGCCAACGTTATTAGTCTCCGCCAGGTTTTTGCGGTAACCCTGCATTTTCTGTGACGAATAATCGGTCTTACTAGACATGCATTGTTATAGGCATGAATTATTTAACCCATCGTTTACAGTTAAGAGCATAAGCTAGGATTGGAGCAGCGAGTTGCATGTTCGATCCCAGTTTTCTGCGACAGTTCTGGCCAAATCCTCAACGTGGCCGGGCGGTTTAAACAACACAAAATTGAAGCAGTGAGCGGCATGTTCGAGACCCGCAGCAAGCTGTGAATATTCTGCGATGTTCCGAATCAATGACTGTTCTAGCGGCCTAATCAATGCTGACAACGTTACATACTACTGTATATACTTATAAGATGCAAGAAGTATTGCATTGATCATGTTTCGCGTAAATGTTAAAAGAATTTGCGAGTTGTCTTCGGCGATGGTCACAGAAATGACAACGTCTGTCTTTTTTTGCAAATCATGATTTTTTGTCCTCATAATTCCATCTGTTTATGTTATTGCACTTTCTATATATTTCTCACTTATTATTCAGTAATTGTTCTCGAATCGAGTAGCATGAATATATGGTATTTATGCATTCATAACCTGCTCGCTTGGAGAAAACAAAAAGTTGCGCATGATAAGATTTATCAACAATAATAAATTTCCTATATCTCGTTCATAAGCTTCAACGGATAATTATGGGCTCATAACAATCATGTTGAACTAATTTCAAGTTGGCGTTGGCATGATGCAACCCTTTCCCGCGCAAGCTTAAAAAGATGCAGAAATTTGACTTTCTGGAACCACTGCCAGAAAATATAGGCATGTATACGATCATTTGGAATATTTAAAACTTTGCACATATATTGGAGTAAATTGCACCCGAAAGGTATATAAAAACGGTCATTACGCAAAAAAGAAATTAATCTTATTTTAATTAAACCATTCAGATGCAAAAGGAAACTATCTGACTTCAATTTGATTTTATTTTCACAACTTAATTTGAATTATTATTACCTCTTCCAACTATTTAAGAAATTCAGAAAGCGCATAAATTTCATCGTCCGAGCCGAAAATTCCATTTCAATACTCATATTTCAATTACTGGGCAAGGCAGGTAGTGATGCTATGCATGTGTGAATGGCTGGCAGATGATTGGTGATTGACAGAGGCATGATAACGTAGCCTCAAACACCAACCGGGAAACGAGTTGGGTATATTGGAGGCAATTTTAAATGAGTACATTTGGCAACCTGCTCGCTAAACAACACATTCGCTAATTGGACGAATCATCAAATCTGAGCATGACGAGTATGTTGATACTTCCCCGACTAGTATGTTGATACTTACGGCAATCTTCACACACTCATACGAGTATGTTGATGCTTACGGCAATCTTCGCACACCCAAAACTGAGCTAAAACACAAATGAGACAAAACTCACACTGGGGCTTTTGACGAATAGGATTCCTATTCGGTTGGCGGGCAGTAACGCCGTTGAGTTGAGATCCTTGAGTTTGAGCTCAACGTTGGGGATGACGCTGCCTGTGAACCCTGGCTTGCCGCCACCCACAGGGTCTTGTGCTATCCCGAACGTCTCCGACGCGCCGTAACCTGGCCGGTGATTAATCATTTCTAACCTCATATATATTAAAATTATTTAAATATTTGATCAGAATGAATTAGTCGCTGCGACTGGCATCGTAGTGTATGGTCTTGAAACTTCGGGCATCCGGGACTAGGAGGAGAGGAGCTGAACGTGGCATACGGAAGCGGCACGAGTTTACAGTCTATGAGTAATGTTAAGTTTCAAATATAATTCATTTACTAAGTGAACTTTCCTCCTACAGCGAACAAAGACAAATATTTATTTGAAACTCCAAAACAATTAATCGGAACTAAAATCCCTGGACCGCAAACTTTTTTACATAAATTTCCCATCGAAACGAACATTTTTGGACGAAGACCCCTGGCATGGAGCTGGCCGCAGCGGCGGCGTGGGCCTGCGGGATTGGGCCGCCGCCCACAATCACGTGTCGGAAATGCTTGAGCAAATCCTGACGCTCACTGCCCAGGCGCAGCAACGTCGGGAAATTAAGGGGCACGATCGCGATTGTGTTTATCTGAAAATACCGAATGTTGACATATTCTAAACTGAATTCATTAAATATTATATATGAGGATGAATTTAGCCTGTCTTGAGGTGATTAGATGTGGTAGTTAGTCGCGGTGTACAGATTGAAGAGGTGCCTACATTCCTGTGAATGATTGATTATTGGGGTAACCAGATTGCCAGGATTTATCTTTAAGTTGGGATTGAAATTACTGGTATATCAAAATTGTAGAGTCGTCTGGGGATTGTGATTGCTTAGACTACTAAAGGATCTAGTCGTTTTTGTACGGAATTAAATTTTTATATATTTAAAAAAACTCTGGAAAATTTTGCGGTGTAATTTTTTACATTAAAATTAAGTTTTAGAGAAATCTATGTTAAATTGATCGAAAATTTCTTGTTCGCGATTTACCATAGAAAAGTAATTGTTACACTTTCTGTCGGGAACGAGTTGGCCAGGATGGCCATCTTCCGTGATGCAAAAGGAATTTTTTAGTGTTAAATGGTAAAATTTCCACTCTAGAAAGTAATATAGCCAGTAACACATGACTTGTTTGAATTTTGATTTCATGGTTGAAGTGAGCAACTCACTGCTCCCATATTGTATTTCACAAACTCTAGATTGTCTATTTGGGCATTTCGATTTAGGATTCTAACAATTGTGTCAATTTGACCCACATTTCGAAACACTGCCGGAATACGCCTCGAAACTGGACCTAGAATAAAATTCAGGAAGGAAGAGGATTTCATATACTACTAACGCCAAGAACAAATTCGTGGCTCCACCTTCGGGTGGGGAAGCCATGTAGCAACATCCCGCCTGACTTCTTGAATCAATCCAACTAAGAAACAGTTCATTCTTGTGTTAACCTTATCACAGCCGTTTTGCTCCTTGTCAGTTAATGTCCAGCACTAGACCAATAAACTTGCCTCACACCCTTCAGTCGTATCTTAGCCGTTCCCTAACCTTGGTGTACTTAATTATCTTAGAAGTTCCGACTTTCTACCTTCGGGACCTCTACAAGATCTTACCCTAAACTCTTCAACGTCTCTAAGGAAAGTGTTATCGTCTAAAGTTTTGAAGATGTGGCACATCCCCGTGGCGATCCCGGGCATGAAGGCAGAAGTCAGCCCGAGCCCTAACCCGATGTCCCTGATGAACAGAGAGCGCGACTGGTTGCTTTCTGCGAGAAAAGGTAAGTCGTCATGCATTTATTTAGTAATTTTTATTATTTATTTGACAAGACACCCACTTAATCGTTCAACAATGCTGTCGAAGCGAAGCCACCCTCATGAATAGCTTAACTGTTCCATGAAAATGAAGTCTTCCCATGAACACTATGCGGTAGAAGTTAGGTCATTCCATATAAATTGTTTGAATACTTGTTTACTGTGATGAAGCGAAATCGTCAAATGCCTAGTTTGGATAATTATTAAAGGAAATTTCTGTATGTGGTGAAAATTCTTCGTCCCAATGTTATACTAAAGTACTCCACACGTGCAGTTTTAGCGAGTTCGAAACATGGTTTTTTCAAAAACCAAGTTTCTGTCATTAAAGAGAAATAGTTTGAGGCATCGTTGGTGTCCTTGTTTGCTTTGATGCAAGAAGTCGCTGCATGCATCATTCAAGTCGACGTAGCCGACGACCTTATTGCAAAATTCGTTTGCCTCTGCAAGGTGGTTGAACTAAAAATTTGTTACCTAGCATTAGAGTGAGTCCTAAATGGATCGTTGAAATGCTTCTGAAATGTTGAAAGATGATCGAAATACTTTTTTCTTCTATTCCCCTAATTAAATAATTTTTAAAACTGAAATGATCTAATTCAGTGAAATTAACACCCATTACTGGTGGGCAGAATGGATCCCCTGGAACTTTGGGAAATTTATTGTCGTCAAAACAGTATTTATATAAAGTTGACAACAGTTTATATACACAGTTACACACAGTTAGTTTAATGCAGTTGAACAGTTTTATTGAATAATATCAGAACTAAGCTCAACATTCAATAGATAATTTATTAAAATTACATACCATCAGTGGTAGGAGGATGCGGCCAGAAGTGGGGATGCATCCTTGCCTGTACCGCCGCGATGATGGAGTTGTGTGAATGCTGCACGCTCTTGGGCATCCCGGTGGTGCCGCTAGTGTACAGCAGCAGCGCGACCTCATCTCCTATCGGCTGCACGACCAACACAAAAGTGTGTGACTATAACGTTTAATAGAAGAGTTCCGGGAAATATAAATAGCTTGTCATCCACATGAACAGTTCTGACGATTGTTTTTCCAATTAACGTAAAATTCGACGGCATTATCGTATTATTGCTGGATTAGCTGAAAAAATAAGATTTTAACCGAGCTTGTGAGCAATTCGGAGGAAATCATTATGATTATGTGCGATGGTTGCTACGTCACGGCAATCTCGTTTTACGGCACCAACCCAGTTATTGAAGATAGTAAAATATTATTTTTCCATAGATTTTTTTTTAAATTATAATCGGGATTTTCTTATGCGCGTTATATAATCTTAAAGACATAAATAACAAGCTTTATTTACTTCTAATTTTCTAATACCCTCATTATTCATCCTGGCTAGAGTCCAGGATGAATAATGTTCGCTCATTGTAATGACGTCAGAGTGACATCACGCGCATAAATTGACCAATCACAGCGCTGCATCAAATATCTTGAAGAGCAATCTCTCAAAGTTCATGAATAGCGATCGTAGTGTATTCGAATGAAGTTTCCCTTCATTTATTGGTAGTATTGACGCTCGATACACGATGCTAACGTATGAAGAGAACTTTGGCTACAGGTTAATCTCCCTACAATCCGTCGTTTGGTTATCAAAGCTGACGCTTAGCTCTTCAGTATCGTGAGGAAGCTATGGAACTTACGTGAAATGATTTAGTTCCATGTTATTGACGATATTGTGATACTATACGCTCCAGATAACCAGTTTCGAGGGGATGTAAAAGTAGTTGAATGAAGCTGCATTTCGTCGCTTCTTTTGGCAGTTCGGTGGCATGACTTACGGGCAGCGTTGCCAGATGGTATATTTCTATACCAAATTTCACAAATCTGGTATTTTCAGGTGTCTGGTATGAATATTTTAGATCTGGTATATTGGTATATTTGCCTAAATCTGGTATTTTTCTGGTTTACTGCAAATTTACTGCATTAAGTTCCACCTAGGAAGTTTGAACTTCCTCCAGTGTAGTCGTGGATTATGTAGATTGCCTTCAGAGCGGCGCGGCTACTGCTTTCCCGCCATTTTTGGGCCCGTAAGCTTACCGCTTGATGAAATAACCCCGATCTAGTTGTTACCATTTAACAACTGTTAAGTACAATATAAGCACGAGAGTGATGATCCTTGATTGATTACTGATCAGTGATGATATGGTCTAGGACGAGTGAGATTGTCGAACCGATCTCAGCGACGCAAGCTCCACCATTTTTGTTTGGTGGTTTTTAATTCAAGTGTGCCACTTATTGGAGTGCCATTTAAATTCTCGGGTGCCATTCAATATTTCACTAATATTGAAAATCATCATCCATTCATAGAACTGGCTGCCTACTGCATCGCTTGCCTACTTTGACCTGTCTCCAATGCATTCGTGGAGCGAAAGTTTCCACAAGTCACCTATGTGAAAAATAAACAACGAAATAAAATTTCAACTATGGTACTGGAGTCTCTTATTCTGTCGGAAAGCTATCTGCTCAGCCGCAACAAGTGATCAAACCCGAACTGTTAGGTAAATGCAATATGCAAGCCTGTACGAAAATAAGCAAACGGAAGCTGACCTGTTTCCGTGGCTTGCTCATGTTGAGCGAAGGGGGAGAAGGGCGACACTGTGATAAAAAGGGAACAAGTGGCAATGTAATCAAACACAGGAAAAGAAAAGTTCAAAATGTTCCAAACAGAGGGAAAAATTTTAACGTGTTCAATTTGGCTAATTATCGTCAAGCTAGATAAATGCACAGTACATAAGATAATTTTTTTTTCTTATTNAGGGTAGCCAGCAGAACTCAGCTCCGAAGATAGTTCAGCATCAGATAAATCTTCACCAAAAGGACCAATCACTCCAACACTGTGAGTTTGATTATGTGGAAGTCTGCACTTAACACTCCAGGAACCTATTTTTGTCACAGACAGGAGCTCAGGCAAACAAGTTACAGTTGCTTCCAGGATGACAACAAGAAGGTTGCGGGCTAAGTTTTTCTTAATCTGAAAAATGCCAGCTTGTCCAAAAGGTGAGGTGGCTAGAGCTTTGCTCAGCACCAAATCATTTGAAAAGAATTTTGAGGATGGTTGGTCATTAGAACTAGGTTCAATTAGCACTACAGGTCTATCAGTTTCAATTTCATCATATTCAAAGGTCTGGATCTGGGTTGTGTTATTGCTAGTAGTAGTAGTAGTAGATGGAGTTAAATCGACAATTCCGGGAGTTTCATCTAGTATACGAGCAGCACTAATGACTGTGTCTGGGGCTGGAACCTCTTCCATCCGGAGTTCCATGTCTGCAATTAAATGGAAACCCTCAAAATTGGCGTTTGTTTTCCCCTTTTTGCGTCTTTAAACAGTACTGAAACTTGATGCTGATGACTGTCCCACACTGTCAACTAAACGGTCTGAACCGCTAGCTAAGGGGGCTGTAGAGCTTGCAATTTGAGACAAGGAAAGAAGTTAATCACTCATTCCAGGGTGATTGTCCTGGATGATTTTGGTACTACTACCAGTATCTATTAAGGATATCGCTTTTCCGTTGGCATGATGATCGGTTTTGTTATCACGAGCAGAATGTTTTCTAACCGGTTGTCCAGGAGATAAAGGTTCCGATGCAACGCTTTCATCGTCAGAAGAGCGGGAGGACCAGGATGTATTGCCTTCTTTTTTGCGACGCTTGCCGGTTTTCATTTCGCCGGTTGTACTTACTAGCGAAGGTCCTAACTCGGCTTAATTCAAATCTCAATCTCTGATTTCAAAGGAAGGCACTGGTTTACCGACCGGTCAGTTCGAGCCTCAGATCCGAACCTCCCCATATATATGTATCATGCTGGTTTTAAAATAATATTTAATACTATTAAGGGGACCAGCTACCCTAAAAATCGGAAATTTTGGCTTTACCGTTTTCTTGACTCATTTTGTAGCTGCTGAAAAGGCGCGCTAACGCAGTTTACCGCATGTCTGTGAGTGCTATAATTTTTGCGCAAGACAATTTTTTAACAATGTTTTAACAATATTGTTTTGTTACATTTTTTAACAATATGTACAAAGATTTATTTGAATTAAATCTGACATGTTGCTCAGCTAGGGCAAGTCAATAATTATATAGATCATTACTCTCGTTAATTACAAGGTGTTTGCACTCGTTTGAAAGCTACAAACGAGACGCGTTCAACAAAGCTACTACCATAGTCAAAATAGTCACACTCTCCCAGGCGTTTAAGGAGAGCACACAGCAGCGTTTATCATAACATAACATATTGATCTCGGCGCTAAAGTGTAGGCCTGATGTGGCCTGTTGCCGATTCTTTTCATTTTCGTGCCTTGTTCACAGAAGATCTAAAATCGTGTCATTTGACCGGATCTTTTCATGACTGGCGATAGTTTGAAGTAGCTACTAGACTTCCACAGGGTTTGATATGGTGCTAGGCATTTCAAATCTGAACGTATATTTTTCCATAGCTTTATCTAGTCTGTTCTTGAACGACAAACTTTTCTACCTTGAATTTTCGATATCTTGATAGATTAAAAATTTTAGAAGGACAGAACACAGAAATAATACTTCACTGTTAAAATAACAAAGCTTTATTAAAACATCCCGCTTATCAAATATCAATCAATCAATCGCTTATCAAATATCAAATATCAAATCAATCAACACAAATCTTCATTCACTAATTTCTTCGCCGCTCGTCGAGTTCATCACTGTGGGGTTCACGGTTCTTCTTATGGTGCATCATCCTCATCGTTGGGATATCGCCCACGTAATCGTCGTAGGGTTGTCCTTTCACGTCTTTACTTCGCCACTGCCAGCGCATCAGTCTAAAGCGCTTCTTCGATGTTTCGTTATATTTAGCGCAAGGTCGCTCTTTCTGCGTTTAGCTGCAAGCGAGCAGCCTCCAGGTCTGCTATTGCTTATTCTGCGATTCCATTCTTCTCAGCAACCACCGCTTACGTTATCTCAATTTAAGCCATGACCTTTTACTCCTGCACGCGCAATGCCTTCCGTTGAATGCGGGCTTATCTCAAAGTTTGAACCATTTTTCCGTAAGTTTTCCGTAAGATGAAATTTCCTCGCTCGATGAATTTCGTTTGAATTTGTTAGAAGTGACGCTTTTTATGGCCATTCCATGGGTATCATAGGTACCGTTCAAACATAGTCGCGATCAATTTATTTGATCACGAAGAAATTTCAATAGGCGAGTCCTCGGATGAGTAAATTAATTAGAAATAACGGAAAAGTTCAGACCAACTTCAATTCATAGGACCACAGTATCATGAAAAAATTTCTGTCTTCGGCATCAAGATAATTTTACTCTCCCCGTACCAAAGTCGCTTATTTAGTCTCTATAACACTCTTAAATCTTATGAATGATAATTTTATGATGCTAATTTTTGTTGAGAACTTTAGATAATACTGCGGTCACATTAATTCAAGTTTTTTAGGCCCAAAAATGTTTTGTGCTAGATAGAAGTCTGTTCTTGAACGACAAACTTTTCTAGCTTGATTTCGATATCTTGATAGATTAAAATTTTTTGAAGGACAGAACACAGAAATAATACTTCACTATTAAAATAACATAGCTTTATTTAAACATCCCGCTTGGCAAATATCAAATCAACAATGCATAATAATCATCTTCTTTCTTCATCAAACATTCACTAATTTCTTCGCCGCTTGAGTTCATCACGGTGCTTATTACGGTGCTTAATCCGGATCGTCGGGATAGCGCCCACGCAATCGTAGTAGGTTTGCCCGTTCACGTCTCTCCTTCGCAACAGCCAACGCATCGGTTTGCAACGCTTCTTCGATGTTTCGCTATATTCGCAAGGTCTCTCGTTCGGCTGCTAACTGCAAGCGAGCAGCCGCCAGGTCTGCTATTGCTGTCTCAGCGACCCCATTCTTCATAGCAACAACCGATTCCGTTTTCTCAATTTAGGCTTTTGCGTTTGATTCCTGGATGCGTAATGCCCGCCGGTGAATTCGGGCTTCTTTTATAGTTTGAACCATTTTTCAGAAAAATGAACTTCGCTGGTTTTTTTTTTTTCGCTTCGCTTCGCTCGATGAACTTCGTTTGAATTCGTTAGAAGTGTCGCTTTTTATGGCCATTCCATGTGTATCATAGGTACCGTTCAAACATAGTCGTGATCAATTTATTTGATCACGAAGAAATTTCAATAGGCGAGTCCTCGGATGAGTAAATTAATTAGAAAGAACGGAAAAAGTTCAGACCAACCTCAATTCATAGGACCACTGTATCATGAAAAAATTTCTGTCTTCGACATCAAAATAATTTTACTGTCCCCGTACCAAAGTCGCTTATTTAGTCTCTATAACACTCTTAAATCTTATGAATGATAATTTTATGATGCTAATTTTTGTTGAGAACTTTAGATAATACTGCGGCCACACTAATTCAAGTTTTTTAGGTCCAAAAATGTTTTGTGCTAGATAGAAAATTTATTTACTGGTCGTAGGGAACTATAATTCTTGAAATCGAATTCTGTGAAAGCATACTTGGTCTCTAAAAATATATTATGTAAGATGAAAAATTTGAAAAAATTGTTACATACTTTTCCCGTCCCAACGAACCTTTCTGGACGAAGACCCCAGGCATGGTGCTGGCCACAGCGGTGGCGTGGGCCTTCGGAATAGGGGCGCCACTCACAAGCACGTGCCGGAAATGCTTGAGCAAATCCTGGCGCTCACTGCCCACGCGCAGCACCGTCGGGAAATTCAAGGGCACGATCGCGATTGTGTTTATCTAAAAATATTGGAAAGATAGTATGTTATTAAACTCGAATATATTAATATATTATAAATATTCATTTATAATTACTATATTAATATATATTAATAATCAAAAATATCGATTATTAATATATTCACGACCAATGGCGTGGAAGTTCGCGCAAACTTCACTCCAGTAAGTAATATAATCACTCAGTAGTCTCCCACGGCTCTCATATTGTATTTCACAAACTCGGGATTGTCTATTTGGACATTTCGATTCTGGATTCTGACAATTGGGTCAATATGATACACACTTCTTTCGATCCTACCCTAAACTCTTCAACGTCTCTCAGGAAAGTGTTATCGTCTAAAGTTTTGATGATGAGACACATCCCTGTGGCGATCCCGGGCATTAAGGCACAGATCAGTCCGAACCCTAACCCGATGTCCCTGATGAGCAGAGAGCGCGTCTGGTTGCTTTCTGCGACACAAGGTAATTCGTCATGCTTTTATTAAATTATTTTTATTATTTCTAGGATAAGGCATCCAATGAATCGTTCAACTATGCTGTCGAAGTAAAGTCACCCATATGAATCGCTTAACTTTACCATGTAAATGAAGTCTTCCCACGAACGGATTAATTGTGCGGTGAAAGTTCGGTCATTCCGTATAAATTGTTTGAATATTTGTTTACTGTGATGAATTGAAGTCATCAAACCTAATTTAGATAATTATTAAAGGAAATTTCTGCATGTGGTGCAAGGTTTTCATTTCCATGTTAAACTAAAGTACTCCGCACTTGCAGTGTGAGCGAGTTCGAATTTCGAAACATGGTTCGTTCAAACACCAAGTTTCTACCATTCATGAGAAATAGTTCGAGGCATCGTTTGGGTCCTTGTTTTCTTTGATGCAAGTAGTCGCTGCATGCATCAGTCGAGTGTTGCCAACCACCTTATTGCAAAATTCGTTTGCCTCTGCAAGATGGTTGAACTAAAAAATTGTTACTTGGTATTAGAGTGAGTGCAAAATGGGTGGTTGAAAGTCTTCTGATATGTTGAATGATGACTGAAATACTTTTTTCTTCTATTCCCCTAATTAAATAATTTTTACGACTTATAAGATACGATTCATTGAAATTGACACACATTACTGACTGGCAGGCTGGGGGGTCCAGAAACTTAGGGAAATTTATTGTCATTTGAACAGAAGTTTTATTGAATATTTTCAGAACTACGCTTAAGCATTCAAGAATAATTTATTAAAATTACGTACCATCAGTGGTAGGAGGATGCGGCCAGAAGAAGGGGTGCATACTTGCTTGTACCGCCGCGATGATAGAGTTATGGGAATGCTGCACACTCTTGGGCATCGCGGTGGTGCCGCTAGTGTACAACAGCAGCGGGACCTCATCTCCCTGCAACTGCACGACAAAACACATAAGTGTGAGACTATCAAGTTTAGTGCTGATAGTCAGACTGCGGCGAAGTCTGAGAGCGAAGTATTCGCGACATAGGTGTGAAATCCTAGTCCTTAACTCGGCCAGTTTCTATTCATGAGCTTATAGTCTTGTAATATGATATTCGAGCCAGCACCCTTACTGAGGCAATGGACGGCCCTTATTGAGTTCCTCTTCTCCGTACTATCTGTTGTGGACTGACAGGTGAGATTTACGACCACTGCTGCCTCTCAAACTTTTCTCAACACCTAGTCAATAAACAAGATTTTCACTTCACGCATGAGCATGCTCGTTCAAAACTGTTTTTGGTAGGTAATATCTACAACAAAGAGGATCATCAAGAAATGCCGAGTATGCCATTTAGTGGAGAATAAAAAATATAACCCGTTGACATCTTGAAAAAAGTTTCAAAGAGGCAGACTTGGTGAACATTAATATTCAAAGTTTCTTGAATTACCTTCATCATAACTCTTTTTAAACAAGGTTTACATAGTTTCTATAGCTGTCCAAAGTTTTTAAATGAATTGCTGGGTAAGCATGGAAAAATTTATAATGCCATCTCATTTCCGAGTGGAGTAAAGTCCAGCCTAAATTTTGAAGAAACTCATAGGAAAGAGCAGCTAGAGCCTGTTCGAAGGCTCGTGGTTCTCAATCAGAGCCTTAAGGGGACCGCCCTAGCATACGAAAACTTCTACAGTTATTATCCGATTGTCATGAAATTTCACATACATACGTAAAATGTAAAAAAAAACATTTTGCTCATATGAATTTTTCAAAAAAAATTGATAGAAAACGTGAAATTCACGTGAAATTTATAGAAAACGGCTAAAAAGGGGTACTTTAGAAAATCTATCTCCTCCCACAAATATCATCCTACAACATCGAGACACGTATCAATCGATTCGTAAAGACCATATCTATTGACTCTAACATCACTTTTTTCATTTTCCATCTAGTTTTTTTTATTGCGTTTTTTTCTATTTTTCCCATTTTTCTCATTTTTCACCCCTCCCCCCCCCTTCTCCCTCATATAAAAAACGAACCAGACTGAAATTCAAAAAAGTGATGTTAGAGTCGATAGGCCTGGTCTTTACGAATCGAATGGTATATGTCTCATTGCTGTAGCTTGAAAACTGATCCCGGTGCAATGAAACAGGGCATTACAGGAATAAATGCCCCATACCCTTGACATCGAAGCGAAAATGCTCCCGGTGTCATCAAACGGGGCATTATAAAAATAAATGCCCCATGAAGACTATTGAAGGGGAGCCAGCGACAGCAGCTCCCACTGAACCACTGGTAAGTTCCATTTTACACAAAAATCTGATAGAGAATCAGTTGAACAAATGTTGAAACTGATATCAATATTTATCAGACTTCTACCTCTCCAATCGATCTGAAATTTTGCACACTTACGTAAAGTTGAAGGCAATGCATGATTCAATTGACAGAATGAATAATTTTGAAAAATTAAATATTTTTACATTTAAAATATACAATGAAATTAGAAATTCATTCTACATATGTAAGATCACAGACACTGAATTATTTAGAAGTGTTGCCTTTGAAAAGTAATTTTTAACTCATATTATTTTACAGTTGATTAAATTGAGCGTCAACACTTATGAATACTTATCGTTTCTAACCTTTCGATTATTCTGACCCATTTCGCATGGGGAAAATACGCCATAAAAGCAACTGTTGTATAGAGGAATAAAAAGTTTAGAAATTAAAACGAAATTTTCCTCGAGAACGTGGGAAAACTAACTATACTAGGAGTGAAACTAACTGGTACTAGTAGCAGGGAAAACTACTAACTAACGTGGGAACTTAACTATACTGCAGGATCATTAATGTTCTTTCAACATCCGGGTGCTATTACAATCCAATCGGATTTAGACTTAAAATTATGTTATGCATTTATTTTTTCGTTTTGATGTATAGGAGCGTGACACGCGTCACTGTTATTCTTCGCCTTTCAATAATTAAACAATTTCATTCAATTAATTATATTCCACTGCTTCAATAATCATATTCAATAATTCATAATTATTCTTTGAAATATATATATGATTAAAATAACTGAAAATCAATTAAATAATTGAAACAGTAAATAATTTCAGGGAAGTACGACTGGACGTCAGGATGCGTGTCAGGAGCGATCTATAACCCCGTCAGCGCTGACCTCAACCAACTCATCTCTGATGTAAGCTTAGGTCGTCTTTATCTTCTATAATAAGTTTACAAATTATTCAATATTATAGTTTTAAATCTCAAGTATGATAAACAATCCCCACGAAATTATGAATTAGTTGGAAGTTTTTTCACTAACTGGCGCGGCAAGGTCATTATTTCTATAGTTTTCTCTCATTATTTTATTTATTCACATTCACTTTACTCGAATCCTATTCTTTACTTATGTCAGGGTATCTTTTATCACCCTCTAGGTTATCATACGTCACCCTCTTATAACATGTTCTGTACCCACATGGTCGAGTCACACTCAGTGACGTCATCCCTGTTAAGGCCTATATATAGCTCGATCTGTGCACCGCTCGTCAGTCGCAGCGGTACTGCCTAGCCGTCATCTTGCTAGCCGCTCCTCCGGCACATACTTGTGCTGTACCTGTCAATCCCCGTCCTTCTGTACTCACCGAGCCACTTTATTATTATAATAGTTCTAGCATTAATCGTGTTTCACTTGTCCTGCCTTAGTCATACTTGGAACAATAGTACCCAGACCCTCAGTACAAATCCATCAGGTGGTCGCAGAAATAGACACCTGACACTTAGGTTGTTTAAGAAGCCAACCTAGCGTCATATATAATAATTGTTAATAATTAAGCGTCTTAATTAACAAAAATCTTCGTCTGACTGCTATCCAAATGCCGTTATCACTGCCGCAACCCTTCATAAAATTCGCATTAGAATTGCACACCATAGGATGATAAGAATTCAGTGTCAAGTAGATGATAGATCTTGTGCAGAATGTATATAATTTGGGCTAACTTCAACGTCAGTGCATTAATGAAGCTTGTAATCTAATAGTTCCCCTCTATTTTCACCGTCTTCAAATATAAAAATATTAAGTAAATTAACCCCCTGTATGCAGACGTGTCCCCCTGCATTGTTATTTATTAACCATATTAATAATTATTAATATAAATCTCAATTACTTTTCTGTAACAAGATTGCAAAAATGCAGTTTCAAATTAGTTAGAACTTTTCTTCACTAACGGCGTGGCAGGGTCACTAGGGCACATGGTTATTTATTAACCATATTATTAATTATTATAATTATAAGCTAATCACCATGTCAGGTGTACGGACTCAGCGCTTGGTCCAACCCCCTGCACGCGGACGTGTTCCCCGGCATTGTTATATATTAATCATATTAATAACTATCAATATAATAATTATTATAATAATAAGCTAATTACCATGTCAGGTGTACGGACTCAGTGCCTGGACCAACCCCCTGCACGCGGACGTGTTCCCCGGCATCCGCAAGATGGAGGCGGAGGTTGTGCGGATGTGCTGCGACCTGTTCCATGGCGGTCCGCAGTCCTGTGGCACAGTTAGTACATTTGTGCTTGTATTTGTGCTTTAATGTTGCATGTATATCAACCTAATATTAAAGACCTTCATGTGTAATAATAGCTTTTCCATGGCGGTCCGCAGTCCTGTGGCACAGTTAGTACATTTGTGCTTGTATTTTACTAATCAACATAAGAATAGTCTTGATTAATGTGCTTAAATCATAACTTTGATCTCCCAGGTTTAGGTTACTTTATTTAACAGTCTTCGTGTAGCTTGCTCCTGTCATTTTGTTGCATCACAAATATTCTAAAAATATTTTAGCGAGTAAATTGCTCGCAATATCGCAGCATAAAATTATGAACTATACCGATGCAACAATACCGTCAATACGCCAGTGGTAAGAACCATATTGTTCCAATGTGGTCAAATAAACGAAGATTGTGTTAAATCTTTGTGAATGAGTCACTAATGAGCTTGACGTAACTTCATGTTGAGCTCCATTGTTCTGTAGACTTTCTTATATTTCCTTATGTTCTCTAAAACTAATCTTTTCGTACGGATTTACTTAATGCGCACATATCCTTTAATCTACTATCTACTTATTTTAAATCTCATAGCATAGAGGTTAGAGATACCTAACACTTTCTTGCTAATCTCGGCACTATCCTTTCCTAATTTTAACATAACATAACATAGTGCTGTCGGCGCTGAAGCGTAGGCCTGATGTGGCCTGTCGCAGATTCTTTTCCTTTTCGTGCCTTGTTCACAGAAGATCCAAAATCGCGCCATTTGACCGGATCTTTTCATGACTGACGATAGTTTGAAGTAGCTACTATACTTCCACCGGGTTCGATATGGTGCTACGCATTTCAAGTCTGAAGATATATATTTTCCATAGCTTTAACTAGTCTGCTCTTGAACGCGTTCATACTTGGAGCGCCAACGATGTCATCGGGGAGGCTGTTCCACATGTCGGTGATTCGAAGCGAGAAGAAATTTTGTCGCGTGCAGAAGTTGCAGCGCAGTTTTTTTAGCTTATAGCCGTGGCCCCTGGTGTTGGTTCTAGTTTCAAATTCAAGTAATCCTTCGGGAACCTTGTATAAACCATGAGTATACTTGTATACTTCATTGAGGTCCCCACGCAGACGCCGATAACTGAGACTTGGAAGCTTCATAATCTGTAATCGTTCTTCATAGGACTTGCCCTTCAAGCCTGGAATTATCCTTGTTGCACGTCTTTGAATATTCTCTATTAAATTTTTGTCCTTTTCAAATCTCGGTGACAACACAACGTTTCCAAACTCTAGATTCGGGCGCACGACAGCAACAAACAACTGCTTCATCGCTTGTGCATCTAGGAACTTGTACGAGCGCCTGATTAGACCAAGAAGTTTGTTGGATGTATTAGCTTTCGTTTCAACATGCTTAGAAAATTTCCGCTCCGTGTCGACATAAACTCAGAGATCTTTTTCCACACTAGACTTTTCAATCATTTGTCACTCGTTGTAACCATGTCTTCTTATACTGTATTCTTGCTGCTCATTGTTTTTCCCGAGGTGAAGTACTTTACACTTGTCAGCATTAAACAGCAGCTGCCACCTATCAGCCCAGTTAACTAAGCTGTCAAGATCATCTTGCAATTGCGCTTTATCTGACGCATCCTTCACTGTATTATAAACTTTTGTGTCGTCGGCATACATGGAGCACACACTGGACACTACTTCTGGCAGATCATTTATAAAAGCAACGAACAAAATAGGCCCCAGGACGCTTCCTTGTGGCACGCCACTGCGCACTGATGCCCAGTCTGACACGGTTCCGTTAATACTGACACGTTGTCGTCTACCTACTAGAAAATCTNATGTAGATCAACCTACGATACCAGTCCACGTGTAGAACAACCTACGATACCAGTCCGCATGTAGATCAACCTACGATACCAGTCCACGTGTAGAACAACCTACGATACCAGTCCGCATGTAGATCAACCTACGATACCAGTCCACGTGTAGAACAACCTACGATACCAGTCCGCATGTAGATCAACCTACGATACCAGTCCACGTGTAGAACAACCTACGATACCAGTCCGCATGTAGATCAACCTACGATACCAGTCCACGTGTAGAACAACCTACGATACCAGTCCGCATGTAGATCAACCTACGATACCAGTCCACGTGTAGAACAACCTACGATACCAGTCCGCATGTAGATCAACCTACGATACCAGTCCACGTGTAGAACAACCTACGATACCAGTCCGCATGTAGATCAACCTACGATACCAGTCCACGTGTAGAACAACCTACGATACCAGTCCGCATGTAGATCAACCTACGATACCAGTCCACGTGTAGAACAACCTACGATACCAGTCCGCATGTAGATCAACCTACGATACCAGTCCACGTGTAGAACAACCTACGATACCAGTCCGCATGTAGATCAACCTACGATACCAGTCCACGTGTAGAACAACCTACGATACCAGTCCGCATGTAGATCAACCTACGATACCAGTCCACGTGTAGAACAACCTACGATACCAGTCCGCATGTAGATCAACCTACGATACCAGTCCACGTGTAGAACAACCTACGATACCAGTCCGCATGTAGATCAACCTACGATACCAGTCCACGTGTAGAACAACCTACGATACCAGTCCGCATGTAGATCAACCTACGATACCAGTCCACGTGTAGAACAACCTACGATACCAGTCCGCATGTAGATCAACCTACGATACCAGTCCACGTGTAGAACAACCTACGATACCAGTCCGCATGTAGATCAACCTACGATACCAGTCCACGTGTAGAACAACCTACGATACCAGTCCGCATGTAGATCAACCTACGATACCAGTCCACGTGTAGAACAACCTACGATACCAGTCCGCATGTAGATCAACCTACGATACCAGTCCACGTGTAGAACAACCTACGATACCAGTCCGCATGTAGATCAACCTACGATACCAGTCCACGTGTAGAACAACCTACGATACCAGTCCGCATGTAGATCAACCTACGATACCAGTCCACGTGTAGAACAACCTACGATACCAGTCCGCATGTAGATCAACCTACGATACCAGTCCACGTGTAGAACAACCTACGATACCAGTCCGCATGTAGATCAACCTACGATACCAGTCCACGTGTAGAACAACCTACGATACCAGTCCGCATGTAGATCAACCTACGATACCAGTCCACGTGTAGAACAACCTACGATACCAGTCCGCATGTAGATCAACCTACGATACCAGTCCACGTGTAGAACAACCTACGATACCAGTCCGCATGTAGATCAACCTACGATACCAGTCCACGTGTAGAACAACCTACGATACCAGTCCGCATGTAGATCAACCTACGATACCAGTCCACGTGTAGAACAACCTACGATACCAGTCCGCATGTAGATCAACCTACGATACCAGTCCACGTGTAGAACAACCTACGATACCAGTCCGCATGTAGATCAACCTACGATACCAGTCCGCGTGTAGAGCAGCCTACGATACCAGCCCGCGTGTAGAGCAACCTACGATACCAGTCTGCGTGTAGAGCAGGGAAATATAGTACCTACCTCGACGTAACCTACGATACCAGTCCGCGTGTAGAGCAGGGAAATTCATGAATATTCTCTTGAATTATAGGATACCAGCCGGTGTGTAGAGCAGGGAAATTCATGAATATTCTCTTGAATTATAGGATACCAGCCCGTGTGTAGAGCAGGGAAATTCATGAATATTCTCTTGAATTATAGTAGCCGAAGGCGCAATTTGCACGGCTGCAATTTAGTTAAATAATGAGTCGAATTGAGTTTTTGAAAGAAAAGTCTGGTAATCACAAAAGTTTTATTGATATTGATTTGTTATTGTTTAGCATAGAAGTCTGGGAGAAATAGGCTTACATTCCTTTATAAATTAATTATTATTGTGACTCGAACCATTTTGTTAACAGGATTCACGCAAAAATCTTGAAAAAGCTACAATATTCTAAAGCCAATATAGCACACGGAATGAAAAATTTTTATCGGCTGTTTTTCCGTTTAACGTGACGAACTGTACTGTTCTTTGACACATTTATTTTTTATTCTTTGATACATTTATTTTTTAGCTTTATAAACAAAAATGAATTTATTTATAATTTCTAGAGCATAGGTCATAATTGAATTTGATTAGAGTCACATGAAATTTATGGAAGTAAATTGTTGCGGGTCTTAAGCGGAAACAATAAAAAGTTTCTTGAAAATTTCATCAAGAGAGTGCAGTGCCTTCCCTAGAGCGTAGACTAGAATTGGTTTGAAAATTTATGTCAAGAAAAAATTGTCCGTTGCACGATTCTTGTTGTTCTCGAAAAGAGGATAACTAAGGGATTGTATCTGCAGCGTTTACTCTCAGCAAATATAATATTAGATATTCAGGCTGCCAGTGAAATGATGTGGCTGCTCATTAGAATAACGTGAAAAATAATATGATGAGACTAACTGCAGCAATTGATGTATCGAGTGATGCATCATTTATTATCATGACACTAATTCCTGTTAAACTATAGCTCGTTTATTGTGTAAGAAAGATGATACCTGAGCGTCTTGCTGGATGGTTTGTGCCACTAAACCTTGTGCGTTTGCTGTAGACATGAACTCCTGTTGGTAGAATGTATTTCACTTCTATTCATTTTTATTCACTTAATTTTATACTGATGAAATGATATTCTTTGTTATTATCATTCATTGTCTCCGAGATAGCCATTAATGCGGATTGCAATCAACTTTTTTTATGGTGTTAGAGCACTGTAACTGATTATAAAATTTTCTTATCAATGACAATATGAGCGATTCAGCAATGCCTGGGTCTGCCGAGATAATTTTTTCGTGCGGTGTAGCACCTGTCTCTTATACACATCTAGATGTGTATAAGAGACAGGTACAGTACCCCTCCTGGTAGCTGACACTTNGGCAGTCATGTCAGTTGATCGTCCTTCATGATAATTAGTTTTCGAATTTATTTTTAGTGCATTTTCTCATTTATGGAAAAAATGCACTATTGTGCTCGCCATGTCCGTCTGTCTGTCTGTCTGTCCGTCCGTGACCTCAAGTTTTCGTCGACGAGAAAATGCGCTCTCTGTCACTCACTGCAGTGAGTACTGAGTTATATTTTTTTTACCATTGTTGCTCCATTCAAAATCTTGATGTCAAAAATGAATATCAGCGGCTGAGATAACTCGTCCTATGCTCAGGTGTTATGCGTCGTATCTGTGCCGTTATTTTATGTGGTATCTCCTCTAAAAATACCCTTGGTGATAAGCTATCAGCGTTGACCAATGCCACTGATGGGTATGGCAAGAATAGTTTATTGTAGCGTCACATTCTGTATAGTTTGTATGGCGCTTCACGACAGTCGCTGTACGCTTCCGTTAATGAACATGGTGAGTTTAATGTTTTTTTTTCTGCGTACGTTATCATTTTTTGCAATTTTAGTAGGGTTTTTATTATGAGATCGAAGTTTCAATAATTTCACGATCAAGTCAGTGATTAGTTGTCATAGAAATTAAAACTACCCAAGTTTGAACCCAATTATAAATTGATAAAAATCTCGTTTGTTTCGTTAATTTGTTTTTTTTTTTTTTGGATTGTCGGTCTCAGTTGCCCAAGTTGTTGTTTAATTGCTATGAGTGTTTAATTATAAACGCTCTTCAGTTTCCAACCGTATCAACACTTGGTGCCGTTGCCAGGGATCGTATCAGCAACACGTTGATTATTCATTGTTATTAATTCGTTGATATTCGCTCATTCAGCGTCTTTATCACTTATTGCCGTCGCTAGGGACCGTATCAACAACACGTTTTTAAATAATAGTTGATAATTTGTTGATTCCCACAGTTTTCAGCGGCATCATCACTTGTGCGTTGCCGTCGCTAGGGACCTTATCAACAACACGTTTATAAATAATAGTTGATAATTTTTTGATTCTCACAGTTTTCAGCAGCATCATCACTCTGTGCAGTCGTCAAGGACCGCATCAACAACACGTTTATAAATAATAGTTGATAATTTGTTGATTCTCTCAGNTCAATGAACCATCATATTCATCATATCAAGTAATCACCAAACAATTAAATATATATGCGCCCCACGTTTTTCGTTTTAGATGTTGTAAAATATTTTAACTGAAATACAAAAGACCAAGAGAATGAAAGCAAACAGAGATCAGTAGCTGCCGAAAAATTATTTTCTACTTTTGAGTCCACATGAAAAACGTGGTCTTTAAAAATTTTTTTTATACATTTTACTTTGACCTTCGGTGCGGAATAGCTTGATAGCTGAAGCGCTGGCAAACCATTCTACTACTACTAGTACTACGTCATATATGGTGCCCATTTCTTCTATTTATACCAACTCTTACTAATTTCACCTTCATTTGTGCAAGTTATTTTGTTAATTTGCAATTTGTTTGTTTATTTTTCGATCTCAGTTATTAATTTATATGAATATTTTTGATAATGCTTTAGTTACGTTAATAGAAACTTTTTAAGTTGTTCATTACGCACTTGAACCAACTTACGCAGTAATTGTTCATCCAAAATCGGGTTAAATGGGTTTAGAGTTAGAATTGTGCTATGAATGTATTTTTACGTTTCGATTTATACGAGTGTGACACGCGTCCCTGTTCATGCTTAGCCTTTCAAAAATTAAACAATTTCATTCAATTAACTATATTCCAACGCTTCAATAATTATATTCAATAATTCATAATCATTGTTTGAAATATATATATGATTAAAATAACTTAAAATCAATTATATAATTGAAAAAATAAATAATTTCAGGGAAGTACGACTGGACGTCAGGGTGTGTATCAGGAGCGATCTATAACCCCGTCAGCGCTGACCTCAACCAACTCATCTCTGATGTAAGCTTAGGTCGTCTTTATCTTTTGTTAATAAGTTTACAATTATTCAATATTATCAATATTATAGTTTTAAATCTCAAATACGATAAACAGTCCGCACGAAATTTCGAATTAGTTAGAAATTTTCTTCACTAACCGGCGTGGCAGGGACATAATTTCTATAATTTTCTCACATTATTTTATTTATTCACATCCACTTTACTCGAATCCTATTGTTTACTTAGGTTGTTTAAGAAGCCAACCTAGCGTCATATATAATAATTGTTAATAATTAACTGTTTTAATTAACAATAAGCTTCATCTGACTGCTACTCAAGCGCCATTATCACTGCCGCAACCCTTCATATAATTCTCATAAGAATTGCACACCATAGGATGATAAGAATTAAGTGTCGAATAGATGTTAGATCTTATGCAGAATGTATATAATATGGGCTAACTTAAACATTAGTGCATTAATGAAGCTTGTAATCTAATAGTTCCCCTATATTATCATCTTCTTCAAATAGTAACATATTTAATAATTTAACTCCCTGCACGCGGACGTGTTCCCCGGCATTGTTATTTATTAACCATATTAACCCATTAACGCCGATAATTCCCTGCGGATTATTGAAACACGTTTTTCCATTTAAGGGATTTATTTAGGTATCTTCTAAAGAATTGTGACGAAAAATTTAACTTTTTTTATTATTACTCGAAATACGGAGTGGCAAGTATACTTGCCACCCGGCTATAAAAAATCATATGTCCAAGAGAAGAGATAACCAGAGTGGGTAGGTATCTAAAGTACATGAACGGATTTGCCAACTGGAATCTAGGCGTGTTTTGCCCAATCAAAATTCAATTTTTCGTGTGAAAAGTTTTCATGCACTCTGGGTGTACAGGAATGTTGCACACACTGCAAAAATAAATGGAACGGGCGCCACATTCACGGCATCTGTTGTACGGACTTTTGCCTTTGTAGGTCCAATGATGCTGACTGCCGTACCGCACTGTATTCACAACAGGCATCGAAACTGGACCTGGTTTTACCTTTGGTTTCCCATATTTATTAAGTGTTGATATCACCAGTTGCCGAGCAAAATCGAATAAGCTGATTTTCTTGTAATTTTTCCTAGAAATTCTTCATCCATTTACCACCTGTGCATTCACAGTCCAAGCAAAAAGAGGCCACCATATTTCTTTGATCTTATTCTGCACTGGTATGCCGCTACTTGTTGATCAAATAGGTCCATACCACCCTTGTGCTGGTTGGTTATAAATGTAGATTGAGTGTGGTAGGTCAACATAAATGTTTCCTGGCCACTCGATTCCACCTTTTTACTTTCTTTGCAGGATCTGCGCGAAGTTTGTTAGAGGCAACGCTTACCACTTTGTTGTCTTTCCACTTTACAACCGAGATGCAGCCTGTGAATGCTTCATCACTAGTTCCTCTTTCTTCTTTTTTCAAAATTGTTCTCTTTTTTAGTGGGGCCCCAGATAGTCGGTCTTCTCTTAGAGTACAAGTGGCAGCGATTTTCCTCTGTGCAAGTTCCTCTAGTAGTGAAACTGAACCAAAGAAATTGTCAAATACAACGTACGTGCTGTGCGGCTTTCATATTCACTTTGTCGATCATTTCTAGCACAACGCTACCACCTAACCAAAACCCCTATCCGAAAGTTTTGAATGACTACCACAATAGGGCTCAACATGCCGCAGAATCCCATCAGACGTGCTGATTGCCCAAAGCTTGAACCCAAATCTCACTGTTTTCCTCTAATATACTGATTACCACCATGTCTTCCATAATATGGAACCATTATTTCATCAACGCTGTAGTATTCACAACATTTCTTATCTTTGAGAGCATTGTTCAAGTGTTCAAAAAGCGGACGCACCTTGTAGAATCTATCGTCAATCATTTTCGTATTATCGTTGAAGTGCAAGCATCTCATTATTTGATCAAAGGCAAAGGTCTCATTGCATTCATAACGAATTTATTTTGGGTGTCAGGTAACTCACTCCAATACAGTCTTCTGTGAGGAACCTTATTGTACCCTGAGAGAATTAGTGTAAGGTTAGCCCATCAGAAGCCCATTTTTGCTGATGTAGTTCGTTGTTTGCCTGTGACGTCACAGATCTCAGTGACGTCATGAGCATTAACCAATCACCGAAATGCGATCAAACCAGTCAACCAATCCTGCATGGGGGAATGACGGGTTTGTTTACGTTTCTCGATCTACGTGACGTAACAAGAAAGCTGAACTGAAAGACGGAATTTCTCGTGGGTCATCCTTATATCGTTCAACCATGGCCGCTGTTACTCGTTCAGAACGCGTTCGGTACTCTTCTTGTTACCGTGAGACTCCATTTCAAACCTCATTTTTCGTAGTTTCGGAGAAATTTCATTTTTCGCAAGTGACAAGTGTACTTGCCACTTGCCGACGTTAATGGGTTAATAATTATCAATATAATCATCAATATAATAATAAGCTAATTACATGTCAGGTGTACGGACTCAGCGCCTGGACCAACCCCCTGCACGCGGACGTGTTCCCCGGCATCCGCAAGATGGAGGCGGAGGTTGTGCGGATGTGCTGCGACCTGTTCCATGGCGGTCCGCAGTCCTGCGGCACAGTTAGTACATTTGTGCTTGTATTTGTGCTTTAATGTTGCAGGTATATCAACCTAAAATTAAAGAGTGTCATGTGTAATAATAAGCTCTTCCATGGCGGTCCGCAGTCCTGTGGCACAGTTAGTACATTTGTGCTTGTATTTGTGCTTTAATGTTGCAGGTATATCAACCTAACATTAAAGAGCTTCTTACTTAATAATAGCTCTTCCATGGCGGTCCGCAGTCCTGTGGCACAGTGAGTACATTTGTGCTTGTATTTGTGCTTGTATATCAACCTATTCTTTCTTAAAGAGCTTCATGTGTAATAGTTCTTCTTATGTAAAAATAGCTCTTCTATGTCCTGCGGCACAGTTAGTACATTTGTGCTTGTATTTTACTAATCAACATAAGAATAGTCTTGGTTAATGTGCTTAAATCATAACTTTGATCTCCCAGGTTTGGGTTACTTTATTTAACAGTCTTCGTGTAGCTTGCTCCTGTCATTTTGTTGCATCACAAATATTCTAAAAATATTTTAGCGAGTAAATTGCGCTCAATATCGCAGCATAAAATTGTGAACTATACGGATGCAACAATACCGTCAATACGCCAGTGGTAAGAACCATATTGTTCCAATGTGGTCAAATAAACGTAGATTGTGTTAAATCTTTGTGAATGAGTCACTAATGAGCTTGACGTAACTTCATGTTGAGCTCCATTGTTCTGTAGACTTTCTTATATTTCCTTATGTTCTCTAAAACTAATCTTTTCGTACGGATTTACTTAACGCTCACCTATCCTTTGATCTATCTACTTATTTTAAATCTCATGGCATAGAGGTTAGAGATACCTAACACTTTCTTGCTAATCTCGGCACTATCCTTTCCTAATTTTAACATAACATAACATAGTGCTGTCGGCGCTAAAGAGTATGCCTGATGTGGCCTGTCGCCGATTCTTTTCCTTTTCGTGCCTTGTTCACCAAAGATCCAAAATCGCGCCTTTTGACCGGATCTTTTCATGACTGGCGATAGTTTGAAGTAGCTACTAGACTTCCACCGGGTTCGATATGGTGCTACGCATTTCAAGTCTGAAGATATATATTTTTCCATAGCTTTATCTAGTCTGTTCTTGAACGCGTTCATACTTGGAGCGCCAACGATTCGAAGCGAGAAAAAATTTTGTCGCGTGGAGAAGTTGCAGCGCAATTTTATTAGCTTATAGCCGTGGCCCCTGGTGTTGGTTCTAGTTTCAAATTCTAGTAATCCTTCGGGAACCTTGTATAAACCATGAGTATACTTGTATACTTCAATGAGGTACCCACAATCCTTCTGGGACCTTGTATAAACCATGAGTATACTTGTATACTTCAATGAGGTCTCCACGCAGACGTTGATAACTGAGACTTGGAAGCTTCATAATCTGTAATCTTTCTTCATAGGACTTGCCCTTCAAGCCTGGAATTATCCTTGTTGCACGTCTTTGAACATTCTTTATTAAATTTTTGTCCTTTTCAAATCTCGGTGACAACATAACGTTTCCAAACTTTAGATTCGGGCGCACGACAGCAACATGCAAACACTGCAGCTTCATCGCTTGTGCATCTCGAAACTTGTACGAGCGTCTGAATAGACCAAGAAGTTTGTTGGATGTATTAGCTTTCGTTTCAACATGCTTAGAAAATTTTCGCTCCGTGTCGCCATAAACTCAGAGATCTTTTTCCACACTAGACTTTTCAATCATTTGTCACTCGTTGTAACCATGTCTTCTTATACTGTAATCTTGCTGCTCTTTGTTTTTCTCGAGGTGAAGTACTTTACATTTGTCAGCATTAAACAGCAGCTGCCACGTATCAGCATAGTTAACTAAACTGTCAAGATCATCTTGCAATTGCGCTTTATTTGACGCATCCTTCACTGTATTATAAACTTTTGTGTCGTCGATTGGCAAAATCGAGGTACACTGCATCTACTGGCTCCCTGTCGTTCAGAAGGCGAGTCCAATCGTTCAACGTAGACAATAAGTTAGTGGTGCAGGATCTACCGGCAATAAAACCATGTTGACAATCTGATAGGAAATGGTGATCAGTCAAGTGATCGATGATCCTATCCCTCACAACAGATTCCATTACCTTACAAACAACACTTGTCAGACTGACAGGGCGATAGTTACCGGGGCTACTTGTGTCACCTTTTTTGAACAATGGTGTTACCTGAGCTTCTTTCCAATCGGACGGCAAAGTTTCTTCGTTCTAATTTTTTGAAAGAATACTGTCAATTGGCCGGCCAGAACGGCTGCCAAATCTTTGAGCAATCTGGGATGGAAGCCGTCTGGTCCACATGACTTGTTGGGATTTGGAGCTACCAGGCGCTTGAGAACCTCTTCGTGTATTTCAAAACCTATCAACTTCGAACCGACTGGGCGCTCCTCAATATCTGAAATTGTCTATTTCATTGTCATTGTCTATTTCTGGATGGTTAAAGTCACCAACGATCAACGTTTGCGACCTGCTGAATGACATGCTCGGTAAAAGGCTGTTTAGTACTTTATTGTTATCAGAGGAGCTGTTATAGGTTATCTGTAAATGACCCCTATGAGGAGGCTATCTTTGCCTTTTAGAGTAAGTTCGCACCCCACTGATTCTCTAGCTGATTGATGCTCTGAAGATAACTTAATTTGCCCCATAAGAGGTTCTAACCCATAGAGCTACACCTCTACTGCACTGCTCTTCATTTAAGTTATGAAAACAGTCAAAACCTGGCAACTGAAATTCAACAGCTACAATTTCCCCCCCATGATTTTTAGGGAGTGTTTCTGTTATACAAATATTGTCTATACACTCGTTTGCGATCACAGTTAACAGTTCACATTTTTTATTCAAAACGGAATCCGAGTTCGTGTAAAAACATTTTAAAACTTTTTGTGCACTTTCACTTTGATGTATGCGGTTTCTTCCTACATTATTTACAGGCCTTAATCTACGGACATCATTCCTACTAATTACTTGTCCTCCATCTCCTCTGACTGTCCTTGAGCAGCCGGTGTTGTCTTGAATGCTTGGAATACCTTCTTATCAATTATTAATTCTAAATAGTTGAAGCGAATACCCTACTATTTATTTAATGTTGATAATCGTACAGATGACGACAGGCGGTACAGAGAGCATCGTGATGGCGTGCAAGGTTTAATGTTGATAATCGTACAGATGACGACAGGCGGTACAGAGAGCATCGTGATGGCGTGCAAGGCGTACAGAGATCGCGCCATCCACCGCGGCATCGCAAAGCCTGAGATTCTCGCCCCCGTCACCGCGCACGCCGCCTTTGATAAGGGTGAAGATAACTGAGATAAGATATTGATAAGGGTAAAGATTTCTGAGATATAAGATATCGATAAGGTTAAAGATATCTGAGATATAAGATATTATTAAGGGTAAAAGTTTCTGAGATATAAGATATTGATAGGGGTAGAGATTTCTGGGATATAAAATATTGATAATGGTAAAGATTTCTGAGATATAAGAGATCGATAAGGGTAAAGATATCTTAGATATAAGATATTGATAAGGGTAAAGATATCTGAGATATAAGATATTGATAAGGGTAGAGATTTCTGGGATATAAGATATTGATAAGGGTAATGATGTCTCAGAGATTCATGAGGTGACATCGTGTGTGTGTAGGAATAAATTCTATATTACTATATGGTGTGATCAGCTGCATAATTTGCTAGATTATATGAGCAGCTAAATATGGTAAAGGAAATTTGAAGCTCATATTTCACGAATATAAGCAATACTAAGCTCGCTTTGTTTATTGAATGCTTCTAAACTTATTACAGCTTTACCAGTTATTATATGTAAACAAATTGAAGCGTGGGTATGAAATATCACCTTATGAAATTGTTAAATGTTAGATTTTGTGTATGGTAATCTTTATGGTAATTTTTGTATTAATAATCTTGTATGTTTCCAGGAGCTCAGCTGCTGGGTATTCGCATCAAGCACGTACCCATTGACCCCGTCACCATGCGCGTGGACATCAAGGCCATGAAGCGCATGATTACACGCAACACATGCATGGTGAGACCAACACGTGCATGGTGAGACCCTGTACAAAACTTGAACGCGACCTCCCGTTTCAGTGGAAGGAAAAATGTATTACTACAAAAATGCATATGGAAAGGAAACGGCTCATAATAAATAATTTATTAATTCTTAACTGTGTTTATGGGAACACAACAAAAAGTCTTGCGAGCAGTGAATAAGCTCGAGCTGCTGCCCGGTGGAAGTCTTCAGAAAATCGGGAGCAAGAGATTCACCTGGCCAGAGCAAGCCATCCAGGTAGCACAGAGAACTGACGCTTTAAATATTAGCGAATTAGAGCACGCTGAATATTAGGGTCCAAATATCGTCAAACGCGTAAAGTTGCGGACTTAGCAGCTGTGATCTTAAAATAGTATAGTCATCTTAAAAATAAAAGGCTATAATAAATTTATAACTCATAAATATATATTCAGTTGGAAGATAAGGAGGGTTTTATTATTTGTGTTGAGAGTAATGAAGGGAAGATCGTTATCCATAATGGAAACCGGCTGCAGCTACAAATTGCCACATCACTCTGAGCTTTAGTGACGGACAACCAACCTGCAGCATCCGGTCCTCTCCTCAGCTCTCGCAGAGACCCGTCCTCCGTGAGAAGACGAGCTGATGCTGAAGCCCCCAGATCGTCTCACACCTCAAGGCTGCCGCCTCAGAAGAGACATTCGCTGGAAGTCTCACTCCTCATCCCTGACAAAATTTAGAGCCGAGGGCGGCTCTTGATTAAGGAATGCCTAGGACTCGGGGAGCATAGTCCACCAGCTTCCCCATGTCCGCTTTTCGGTCTACATTCCGGTCCCCGAATCAGACAGCTACAAGCTCCTGGTACTTATTCTGCTAACTCTTGCACTACTCTCACGAGACTATAAAGTCGGCCAGGAGGTTCTGACTAGTCGCTGATTGCGATCAGTTGGCCAACTGATCTAGAATAACTCTTACGCGAACATAGCAACTCTGAAGCGGAGGCTGAAGCATACCCTGAATTTTGTCAGGAATGCAGATGTTGAGGACAAAAAGTGAAGATGTGGCGTCGTTAGCAGTCGTACGAAATCTGACTGGTGGGCAGTCTCTAAATCTGACTAGAGGTTGGAGTTCTTCTAAGCTTCTATCTTCAAATAAGGATTTGAAGAAATACGAAAGGTTGTCCACACCATTGAAAGAAATGTCGGGAACTGTAGCCAGTCAAATAAAATTACAAACTACTCAAACCCAAATAACAGACTTCCAACTGGAATTATCTTAGGAAAAATAAGAAATTTATAGACCCGACATGGCAGAGCTTGGGCCTATACTTGCAACGATTGTTTCTCATTTACGATGATTTTAACTTTTATACAATATTTTTTGTGCAGTTGGTTGGCTCTGCACCAGGTTTTGCCCACGGGGTCATTGACCCCATCGCTGAGATCAGCGCCCTTGGGGAGGCCTGGGGCGTCCCTGTACACGTGGACGCCTGCCTCGGGGGCTTCCTCATCCCCTTCATGGAGGAAGCGGGCTACCCTCTTCCCCTCTTTGACTTCCGCCTCCCCGGGGTCTGCAGCATCTCGTGTGACACCCACAAGGTGGGGGCAAGTGTCTCGTGTTGTTGTTTATTGTGTCCGCCGCGCTCGCCGCGGGGGAGGCTCTGGTGGTGGGCGAGGGGCAGGCACCATAAGAGCGGGGAGATGGGCGAAGGCAGGGAGGGTGGCCAGGAAAGCCGCTGCCTCCACGGGGCTGTCCCACAATGAGGAGACGCTGAGGGACGTTTGGAAGGCGGGGCAGGCGAAGAGGTGCTGGACCGATTGGAGGGGATCTCTGCACTTCGGGCAAGCGGAGCTAGGGGAGCGTCCGATTCTAGCGGAGTAGGACGCCAGGGAGCTGCAGTATCCCGAGCTGAGCTGGGATAGCGCCGAGCGGTAGGGGCGAGGGAGTGTGGCCTCCACTGATGCAATCGGCGGTGGAGGAGCAGCGAGGACGGCGTTTGTGGCATCAGTCGCCGCGACGCAGGAGGCGATCTCCCTGCGGAGAGCCCGTTTGGCTTCTCCGTATGCACCAGCGAGTAAGATGCTATTTGCCAAGAGTGGTGTGACAAGGTGGCCGAACCTCGACTGAATGGAGGCTTTCATGGGGCGGTCCCCAAGTGGAGCAGAAACAGTGCAGAATGATGTATGGGAGGGCTGGAGGGCGCTATCGAGGAACTGGGCACATGCCAGGTCCAGGTGCGCGGACAAAGGGAGGACGCCGGTCTCCTGGTGAAGATGGGAGATCGGGGCCATTTTGAGGCAGCCGGTTGCTATTCTCAGTGCAGGGTTTTGAATTGTTTGCAGTCTGGTAATTGCTGCGCGTGTGGCAACAGGGTACCAGATGGGGGCCGCGTAGTTGAGGATTGGGCGCGTGATGGTTCGGTAGGTGGCAATGATGTCCTCCTTGGAGAAGTCCCAGTTGGTACCAGCTAGGGCTTTTAAGATGCGAAGAGAACCAGTCGCTTTCGTGACTATAGCTCTAGCATAGGGGGGGGGGNGGTGCTCTACCGCCACAGGCAGTTCTTCACGTTATCATGACTTTTGTAAGAGTCAAGAGGCAGACGTGTAATGTCTATGCTTTATATTGCAGTACGGGTTCGCCCCCAAGGGCTCGAGTGTGGTGCTCTACCGCCACAGGCAGTACCGCCACCATCAGTTCTTCATGTTATCATGACTTTTGTAAGAGTCAAGAGGCAGACGTGTAATGTCTATGCTTTATATTGCAGTACGGGTTCGCCCCCAAGGGCTCGAGTGTGGTGCTCTACCGCCACAGGCAGTACCGCCACCATCAGTTCTTCATGTTATCATGACTTTTGTAAGAGTCAAGAGGCAGACGTGTAATGTCTATGCTTTATATTGCAGTACGGGTTCGCCCCCAAGGGCTCGAGTGTGGTGCTCTACCGCCACAGGCAGTACCGCCACCATCAGTTCTTCATGTTATCATGACTTTTGTAAGAGTCAAGAGGCAGACGTGTAATGTCAATGCTTTATATTGCAGTACGGGTTTGCCCCCAAGGGCTCGAGTGTGGTGCTCTACCGCCACAGGCAGTACCGCCACCATCAGTTCTTCGCACAGCCTGACTGGCCGGGCGGCATCTACGCCACCCCCACCATCGCCGGCTCCAGGGCTGGTGGTGCGTTGATTATTAGTTTTGTCAGAGGTGGGCAGTAGCGCTCTAGATGTAGCGGCCGCTACATTTTCAGTAGCGGCGCTACATTTAAGCAATTGTAACGGTAGCGGTAGCGCCCGCTACATTTAGAGCATGTAGCAGTAGCGGTAGCGGCCGGTACATTTCAAAGTAGCGCTGCCCAGCTCCGAGTATAGTTAAACATAACAAAACATAACATAGTGATGTCGGCGCTGAAGAGTAGGCCTGATGTGGCCTGTCGCCGATTCTTGTACTTTTCTTGACTAGTTCAAAGATCTTTATGACTGGCCTTTTGATCAAATCTTTTCAACGGACGATAGGTTTGAAATCGTTTCTAGACTTTCAGTTGTTCCGTAGGGTACTACGCATTTCAAGACCAAACACATGCTCAGCCTTGTCTAGTCTGCATTTAATATTTGATCAATGCGTTTTTCTAAATAATTTAACAGTAAAATTATAATATTATGCATAAATGTAATAACATAAAGGGATAAAATATATAAAATATAATTCATATACATTGATAAACGATACATAGTAAGAAGGAATATGAAATACATCCTAATGAGATATTCGATACAGAATTCAAGTCTGCTACAGAATTCCGTACAAAAGGCCATTCGTTGTTAAAAAGATAAATTCTATCACGAATATATCCGTTCCAAAATATGTATATCTACAGATAAATCTCCCCATAGATTAAGGAACTCTTTAAATAGTTGTTTTCAATATATTTTTCGTTGGTGTGAATTAGTTATCGATATCCATTTTGGCAACAAATGCTGTTATTATCTAAATATTTGTAAAATTGTTGATGATAATGGATTGTTGATGTGATTCATGATTGTGAGCAGGTGATCGATGAAATAGGCATGTGATTAATGTTGTGCGACTGTTGCTCTCGTATGTCTTCATGAATTTTATTTTCACAAATTCATCTCTGAAGGCCTGATCGCGACGTGCTGGGCAGCGCTGGTGCACTTCGGTCGCGACGGTTACGTTAAGTCGACGAAGGCGATCATCGATATTGCCAAACACGTCGAACAAAAGCACGTATCTTAGTTATTGTTATTATCATTATTATTATGATTATTGTTATTATTAGTTACTTAGTTATTATGCACCTTCCCTCCTTAGTTATTGTTATTATTATTATTATATTATATCAATATTATTATATTGTTATTACGATCCATAAGATTATCAAGTAAGCGAGTCTCAGACATTCCGTCTCGTACTATATCATATCATATGAAAATAAAGTGGCGGTCAAAATACAAAAGAAATGTTGACGGTGAAAATTCTTTGTTAAAATAATCACAATTCATCGTAATTTTTCACTATTGATGATCATTAATAAATTTTAAGAAACTAATTGAGTCAATTATGAATTCTGTTTGTTTATTTAGGTGGCATTAACAAACGATTCTCTGCGCAGATGCCGCGAAATCCCGAGCCTGGAAGTGATAGGCTGTCCTGAGGTTTCGATCGTCGCTTTCACATCGAAAAAGTTCAACATTTATTCGCTGGCTGATAAGATGCAGAAGCGAGGCTGGTATCTGGACTCCCTACAGCATCCGTCCTGGTGAGGCACTAGACGGTGTTGGTGCACTGCTGCACTAGTAGTGACAGCTGCTGTGTGTTGGTGCACTGCTGCACTAGTAGTGACAGTTGCGGTGTGTTGGTGCACTGCTGCACTAGTAGTGACAGATGCCTGTGTGTTGGTGCACTGCTGCACTAGTAGTGACAGTTACTGTGTGTTGGTGCACTGCTGCACTAGTAGTGACAGTTGCTGTGTGTTGGTGCACTGCTGCACTAGTAGTGACAGTTGCGGTGTGTTGGTGC